AAAGCACCATTGAGACAGACGTTTCATGCCGTCTTGACCGAGTTGAGAGTGGATGTGGGCGGTCATGAGGATGTAAATAGAGGATACGCTCTTCAACATCCAGCATTCTGATATCTGTATTCTACTATTGCGGGTTTCTTCAGCACCCTTCCTGCATTTGTGGAAGTGTCTGAGGCGTGTCTGACGTTGACGTACACGTACACCGGATCTGTCGACCTGTCGAATGCAATTAGGGGAAAAACGTTCATTTCTCCGACGGTAAAGAGGGCGTGTTCCATCTCGCCGGCCCATGCTTGTCGTAAGAGGCGACTAACGGGATCGGGTGGTCAGGCTCGCTGAATTGGTTGACGCATGTCATCGGTTCCCAGTTGCGCAGCTCGATGCTCATGCTGTTGATCACTGGATTGTCTGGTCCAGACTCGATTATTTACAGACCGCCGCCATATAGCTGGAATATTGCTGAGTGCGGCGTAAAACTCAACTCACTCACTCACTCACTCAATCTCGCCGGTGAAGAAGAAATCGTGATTCATCACTGAACCAGGAAATCGCCTCTAGTTTCTGAGGTTCTAGCTCCGGACTCTACAACACCACCGCAAGCGATTGTGCCGATGGAAGTATTTCAAAACTGGGGTGACAACTGGCCTTCTTGGTCGAATCCCCACTTCATGCAATCGATTCCTGACAGTTTGGTTTTTCTCAAACCAGGGATGCGTTGTGCAGTCTCCACGGCTGTGGCAAGACGATGACGCAAGTGAGCAGCCTGGTCTTGGGTGGTAACTCTTGGACGGCCGCTTCTCGGGCGATCTTGGGCGGAACTGGTCTGCAGGAAACGATCCCAAAGACGAGATATGGTGCTCTGTTGAACGTTGAAATGTCGGGCAACCGCAGATTGGCGATGCTTCGATTGGCTGCACTCAGTCGTCGCATGATGATTTCCTTTTTTTCCTAGGCAAAAACGAATGACACACTTAAACACAACGTTTGCCTTTTAGTAGAGATCCATACCGCCATGCTTTTACGCTTACTTGTATGTCCATTTTGCTTTGCATGTTTTCTTGGTGACGTTTAGGCGAATATTTCTTCAAATGCTTCTAAAAAAAGGGAAAAAGTTAAAACTGCCTCGTTTTGGCGCTGAAGCTGTTTACAATCACACAAAGATGACGTTTTGGAAAGAAATGGTATATTTGTATTCACATGATTCTTACATGTGAAAGAAGAAATGGTCATCGACTTAATCCACGAAGTAGATCCCGACGAAATGGGCAAGGGACATGGTCCATTAACCCATATAGCAAAGCTGAACACCTTCCTAGCTTGAGGTGAGGTGAAATTGGGTTTAACGTCGTGCTTGAGAATATTTCGCTCATATGACGACGTGTATGCGTGTGTATGTGTATGTGCGGCTGCTTGTACTAGCCCAGACTTAAGCTGGTTTTATAGTGCTAGCCCACTGAGATATCATGCCGCAGTGAAGCATGAATACCCCACTCAGACACATTATACTGACTCCTAGCCGACCAGTCCTTGTTGTACCCATTAATGCCGAGCGCCAGGCAGGGACCAACAAGTACCATATTTTAACGTCTTTTGGTATGACGCGGTCGGGGATCGAACCCGTGACCTTCCGCTCTCCGGGCGGACACTCTAACCACTACATCACGGAGGCGGTCTCTAGCTTGAGAAGATGTAAATGCATTGTACAAATCAAGAATGAAGATCAGCTTTGCACTTGCCTTCGTACAGGTCATGCTACGTAAGATCAACCCCCACCGCCCCGGTGAAGCGTCGACCAAGAGGACGGCACCTTGATGTTTACCCCACCTCAATCCACCCTTCCTAGGGAACCCAAGAGGAGAAGAGCAGCAGCAACAGCAATTTCGGATTCCATGCATATGTTCATCCCAACAACACTGTGAATCATCAGGAGTTGTAGTCAGTGAACTTTACCTTCTGAAGACATGGTACAAGTGAATTTGGAAGAATGATTGGGACTGACAGTTCAGTTGGCATGATGTGACTAGTACCCAGACCTGATCAGAGCAGCCAGCGAAAAGGTCATTATTCCCAAAGTGGTCTATTCCAGTCGAGAACGTGTTCAGAAACTGAACATACTGCTTCAACATACCAGCACGCGTACGTCTGTTGCAAACGCATACAGCTGACTAAACAGCCAGCACGTCACATAGTCACTGTGAACTGACTGGAAGAGGAACTCAGTGAAGTCGCTTCATATGTTTGCTGTACACAGACACTGGTGGATCGTCATCTTCTTTTGATCGGACACTTGCTACCAGGCGTTAAAACGGCGAGTGTTAGTGTCCTTCACCATACTTTAACAATACACACTCTGAAACGTGCCGATAGTTCCGTTGGCGTTGATGGATAGACACTCTTTGCACTGGTGACATTGCCATGCAGGACACAAGCATGGTGATGGTGATGGTGGATCAGTTCTGGTTTTCCACGTTGCCAACAGTTTCACCTTCTCCAGCCCCTCCCTCTTAATATAGTGTGGTTCAGCCAGTCAAGTGACAAGACACCACGGCGCTACCTCACGCGCTACAATGACGTCATCGGCGCCACGTCATCGGTGCTACGTCATTGGGGTCCCCTATATAAACTCAGTACACTTGTGGTGTGGTATCTCGATGGAAAGTCAAATGATGTACGTCAGAATAGTACAGTATATTTCGACTAGGTAACAACTTTACCATAGACACTGTGGAAGAAAACTGACATGCGGTCCGACCCTCAGAAAAATGTTTTTGAAGCCAGTTGAGACGCACGACATAAAGACAGCAGAGGATGCCCCTCATCCTTTAGTTGATCGGGCTTCCTCGAGAACCAGAAGCCGCAGCAGCAGCAGCACCACACCAATACCAACCCCCATCTCCATCCCCGCAGATATTTAAAACCCCATTGGTCATATATCCTGCAAAGCGATTCTTTCCAAACAAGTCCACTTTGTCCCAGCAGCCACTGTGGTGGAATCATCACAACGACGGATATCAAAAGGTGCACGACAGTTTGTGCAAGGGGAAATTTATTTTCAGAGGCCTGGATCTCGTGTGTAGCTGCCATTATGTTCATTCCCACCATTCCAAGGGTACTTTTTAGGGCCACCCATCATTGTCTCAAAATGTTATTACTTGAACAAACATATGTTTGTTGTCGTCGTAGTTGTTGTGTGTCTCCCAACAATCTCCCACCCTCCATCTCCCACCCTCCATCTCGCCCGCCTCCTTCTCACCATTTCCGCTTTCTCTAATCACGTGACCACAAAACCAGCTTTTCATGCCATCTTGAAAAGGCCGGTAGGGACCCATGCATGACAAGCCTTAACTATATGGACATGACGCGATACTGGACTAAAACTAGACAATGCCATGAATGGGAAGAACGGAAGAACGAGACAACGTGAAATGAAGCCGGACATGTAACACCTGCAAACGATACGGACTAATAAGACTTCGGGTTGCAATATTGACAAATCTATGGATCACAACTTCTTCAATTAGTGAGTGCGACATTTCAATACCGACTTTTGTACCGTTGTCATTCACAAGCAGGAAAGTACAAGAATCATTCGAAGTAAACAAACTGTTTCTTTGTTGAACTCTTAATTACGCCCGGTGAACCAGGTGGATTTACTGAAAACATGGTTTTATAAGCATCAAATTACACAAGGCTCGAGCTAATTAACTCGCCAGTGTCAGATAGCGGTTTCACCTTTTGTCTAGTGAAAATGTTTCTTTCTAATGGCTTTCAGAATTTGCGTCAGAAACATATTAAGATGTCAAGGTCTTTGCACGGCATTTAGAAGTGATACACATAAAAGGTGATACTTTATGGATGTCTTCTTCTTTAGTGAAAGGAACACGTCCTTTTTGGAGTTTAATCTTTCTCCTTCATCCTGGGGAGAAGTTGACATCCATAAGTTCTCACCTTTTACATTCAGATGTTGTTTCTTCACACCACCTAGTCCTTGCATTACTGACAGGCAGTTGATTCAGCATCATTATAAACGTCAACCCAAAGTCATGCCACATATTCCACTATGGCAGCTGAATCAGTCACCTAAAGTAAACTAAGCGAGGTAATGCAACATGTTTTAGCAATCCAGTTAATCAATGTCACTCTCAGATTACAATGTGTTACTTAAGGAAATTTCCCAACTGCCTAGATCGATGCTCATGATGTTGATCACTGGATCAGACCATTGGACTGCTACAAACAGTTGAGACTTTCTTCCCCATTTCTGTTTGCGATTACGGCCAAGCCATCAGCATTAGCAAAGTAAAAGCTACACTGGGGTGTATTAGTGTGTTTGTTGTGCTTGAGTAATGATGGCGGAACCATGGTAAAAATGTAGTTGAAAATCTATGCACTTCTAAACAGCAGATGTAATTGAAAAATTAACGTACCGTTTATAGTTTCATGAGAAAAAATCTATCTAAGGATTATCATTCTATGATTTGATTATCCGATGTGTATCCGTGCCGCCCCTGAATGGCTTTGAATGTGTTGTCAGGCAACAAACACATACGAACTTTTTAATCAAAATGTGTGGCGGATGTTACTTGGATAGCAGAACATACGTACATGCGAACACCAAGTGTCATCACTGGTTTTCTGTAATCTATATATTTAATTTTCACCGCTATGTTTTCCTATACGCCTGATGGGTACGCGAGTCTGGTTATTCTCTGACGTTGACGTTTAATGTAATAAGAATACCACTACACCCTCGGTGTTGTTTGGAAACTGATAGAACGATCATTACGGACGTCTAAACACTGTGGCATGCGGGCATTATTCAATTCATATAACTACAAGGACAAAATACTTTCTACATTCATAAATAAACTCTGCTAAACTTCAGAGTCGACTATACCATAAGCACAATACTGATGATACCATGTATTCGCGAACGGTGAGCGTATCCTGCTCGACCGGTGGCGCCCGTAATATATATATACAAAGTCACGTTTACCTACCGTCATCAAGGGTGTAGATGATGGCGATGTCCCTGCCAATGTCTGGGAGAAACCTCAAGGCTGCGAACGTCGCAGAAGCCAGACCCTCCTGAACCATGAACTCCGGATCTTTCTCCTCCCAACACAGCTTCTCAAATCTTTGGCCTGGGTCAGAAGCAACGTCGATGGAACCATCACTGGACACATGGATCTGTACCTGGACGGAGGCAACTTCCTGCTGACCAAGTCTGTCTATGCAGGATGCGTTTACTCTGAGATCCATCGTGTTTTCTATAAATAAAAATAACATTTTCTTCATATCATCATCACGATGTTTCATTGTACGAACATTGTTCGTCTTAATTCTTTTCTTCAAAAACATTTGTCTGAGAGATCAAAGATTGAAAGGAAGTGTTCTACATATAGATTGAGTCGTATTATATACTCATGCCAATAATGGTTGTCACCCCCTCCCCACCCCAACCCCATACAAACACCTCACTATTTACACATCGGCGTAAAGAAGTTCCACACCCCTCTCCAATTAAAAAATGAAGAGGGTGACAACCATTATTGGCATGAGTATATATGTTTATCCACAAGAACTATCGGAAATAATTACCTCACCAATCAGAAGATGTTAAACGTGTTCTAAACAGCCATATATCCCTTTACTATTCATAAGTAATAAGCGGTGTAATATAATGTACTTTAATACACTGTTATATTATTACATGGAGTGGCTGTAAAGACTGCCTGATGTCATTGACATGCCTGAGAACAGGTATTACATTTTAACACCCATACTCAGAATAGGCCCAACACTTTGCATGATTGCCACATAAAACGACTGAAAAGGGAAATATATATAAAGTCTAAAGGTTGGAAATGAGCGGCAGGAATGACTTGTACAAACGGTATGTCAAGTATCTTATCCTTTTATTTCAATGCGGTTAGGATAGAACTGTGTCGGAAAACACAGTGATAAACTTTTAACTTACACCTGTGTGCCTTCTTCACGTGAGGCTGATTTTGATATCAACGGGTAATATAAAAAAGGTTGAGAATTTTATTTCAGTTGGGAATAGATCGAAGAAACTGTTAGAGAACTCTGCTGAGATTGATTCATGGCTGTACAACAATAGTTGAACATGTAACCCGAAGAAACTCCATTAGGCAGTCAATGTCAAATCAATCACTCAAATCGTCTCGGATTTAAGGTATGGGCTTTACGACATAATGCCACACCATAATGACCCCCGTTAAACACAGCACTGATGTAAGGAGGTAGCTCGTGAAACTGTTTACACTACCCTATTTTATTTCTGTGGCAGATATTAAGGAGATTGCATATTCTCCCAGAAGACTATGCTGTCCAAATCCATGAACAGTTTGATGTAAAGGAGTCCCTACCTGATTCTCACAGTTTATATTATTGGTGTAGACACTTAACTTACTTCTGATACGACGGTAAAGGAAATAGTCATATAGATTCAGTTGTAACATGAAAATACACTTTCAAATGCTCGTATCAATATCGTTCTGCGGACATGATGTATTACCGGGCATTGTATGCCCCGGACCGGCTGGTCAGGTCCGAAGCTGCCTGTCCCTCATCTGGTCCAGACTTAGAACCGCCGTGATATAACCTCGGCGAGTGCGGATTAAAACACAATTCACTCATCACCTGCTTTGAGGCATAGACAATATATTCCAGTAATGATTGATTTAATCCACTATCACATTTCTTTCAAAGTGATTTACAGCGGAATATATGGTGATGAATATTTGGTAAAGGTCATTAGTGTCAGAACAATATCGTGTTTTGTAATGACTGAATGTACTTGGTGACCCACCCAAGGGATTGGTAGCAAATCTCGCATTGAGTTTGATCTATAGATCTATGAATCTATTCCTCTTATGAATATTGCACGTCTTCAGTTGATCTATTGCATTATTGTATTGTCATTTCACAAATTGAACGTGAAAGTGTCCCACAAACTTGAAATACTGAGGCGATATCCTGCCCTCTCCGTACGTGTTGTCGAGTTTTAGGACGCTAAAGGCTTCTTTACCTCATATGAAGTGATTTAGTGTGATAAATGATCAATACAATAGGTAGGGTAGTTTTCATCCGATCGGTTTATACATTGTATCAACACCTGTTAGTAGTGATTCCAAGACTAGTTATGATGTGGTCGAATATTTACATATCAATATCCTGTATGGCCCCCCTGAGAGTCCAGAACTGCCTGGCATCGTCGCCCCATGGAACCAATCAAATTACGACTTGTGATCTGGGTAGTGTTCACCCACTCTTCCTGGAGTGCTTGCGCCAACTGTTGGAGACTCTGTGGCTGTTGATGACGTGATTACAGACGTTGATCAAGAGCATCCCAACATGTTCCGTGGGGTTGAGATCTGAGTCCTGGAGGGTCACAGAAGTATCTTTGTGGTTCCTCAATAAGGTCGTTGTCAGTTTTGCCGAGTGAGGTCGTCTCTTGTTATGCTGTACAATAGTGACAGACAAATGAAAACCCATCGTTTTCACAGCCCAACAATTCATGTTGCGCTTTTCATTCCATGTTTCTGTGCCACGCTTCTATCCACAGACACGTGGGGGCAAAACGACATTATTTACACTGGTACTGTTACAACAGGCGTGCAATATCAGACATGCAAGTCAGTGCACAGTCATAAATCACCAGTTCAATACTGCTTATGTACACACTAGCGATCCACCTCCGGTCATATCTCCCGTCAAATCAGTTTGGAATTTTAGGAAAACAACGTAGGTTACCTGAGAAGAGCATTCGCCTTTCATGGGCCTGACTGATTCACTGTTCATTACAGATATAGCCAGGCATAGTCTTGCACATGTATATAATATTTAAAAACACTATTTCAAATAATCTGAAACTATAACGACATGTTCATATCAGATGCCATATTGAGAGTCACCTGATACAATTTATTGCCATTATTGTCAGGTCACAAGACGTGATATAAATGTTTTTGAAAAGACACAAATCCACGATATATTTTCTGTTTCAATAATTAAGTCCGCGATGTTTATCTTGTAACCATAGTGACATCGATATTGGCGAACCGCAGTTTCAGCACAAAATATTATTTCACTCGGGTTAGATATTGATGTTAGATGTCCATGCAATACAGTATGTTATAACTACAGGTGTCTGGGTCTAACAATATTGGATGCCAACTTAAAAACGTGTACGTGTATGTTCAAAGCCCGTTCCCAAATGATGTGCCTTAAATGCTTAAATCATACGTGCCGGTGTCAGTCAGTCAGTCAGTCAGTCAGTCAGTCTCTCTCTCTCTCTCTCTCTCTCTCTCTCTCTCTCTCTCTCTCTCTCTCTCTCTCTCTCTCTCTCTCTCTCTCTCTCTCTCTCTCTCTCTCTCTCTCTCTCTCTCTCTCTCTCTCTCTCTCTCTCTCTCTCTCTCTCTCTCTCTCTCTCTCTCTCTCTCTCTCCCTCTCCCTCTCCCTCTCCCTCTCCCTCTCCCTCTCTCAACAGAAGTGTAGCATAGCTTATTTTACGATTCTATATCATTAGGTATATATCTAAACCAACATTTGTCTGACCATCATGTGACAGGCATTAAGTAGAGAGCAAGGACTGGTGTCGCCTCCACATAGCTGGTGTAGCAGAGGCACACATTCTCAGCTGCTGCTGCTGATAACAATGCCATATGGCAACTCCTCCAAACACAAGGAGGGGATGGAAGCCAGGAACTAGTCTTACTTTGCATGGAAATGGGGCCAAACGTCATCATATCAAGTATTAGGCTTCATTACACGAACACACACTCCAGCTGACTGAAGAACACTTGAATTTAATGGTCGTGCTTCGCATTTCAGTAAACGTCACTTTTGCCACAATGGTTTGTGTCTCAGATCTGCTTTGCCAGACGTGATGGTTTTGTGGGTTTTGCATGTAGTTTGTATGATTCCAGAGCATGACGAAATAAGTTCCAAGATATTGTTTGTTTTACACGGTTAAAGTGTTCGATGGATGTGTCCAGAAAGTAGCTGACACACCCCTCACTACACATCCGTGTTCAGGGACGCCCATGAACAAAGCACGTGTAAGATTAAAATTGTCAGTCTGTCAAGGGGATGGGTGTAACTGTTTTTCGCTTCGTCAATATGTGCCAATATTGTGGAAGCAAAGGTTATAAACATTTTTCATTTTCGAATTTGGATTTCATGTATTTTGAACATAAAACCTTATTCCATAAAAAAAAACACGTACTAAATCTTAAATTTAAATTTTAATGTATTTTCTTGTTTAAGCAAATGATTGTTTCCTCTCAGCATATAAATTCTAATGGATGAACTTTGGGTCCAATCGCAGTATCTGAACATCCGCTGGTATCAGTTTGTGTTTAAATTACATCTGATTCATTTACTAATTGTCCCCGAAATTTGATGAAACATTAGCTAGATTGTAGCACTGTTCCCAGTTCCTGATAGTACCGTTATAGGCTGAACTAAATTAATACCACAAAGGGAACCCTGTTGACATAAATGTCTGACTGAGGCATCATGTGCAAACTTCCAATGCATGTTAATCCTGTTAAGCCCTAATGCCTTTGTACACTAACATGTCTGGGTAATTCATGAATGCCATCATAAAAACATTGATTGATGTTGAACATTTCTCGTACTTCAACTGCGCCATAGTCATTACCAAGATTAGATTCCAAGCCAGGGACATCCCCGAACAAAACTATTCAACTAATGCCGACAAACACTCATTTTTATATGGCAATATCATTGGGTTTGACAGATATAATGTGCATGTCTATATCTCTTTTCATGAAGCCATATCATATCATAAATAAATACAGCAATGTCCAATGAATATTGATTCCTTGCCAAACATGCTGTTTGTTCAAATAACAAACATCGTCAATTCATACAAGAACTGAGACTATGACAGGTATGTGATAGCAACAAGTGTACCGACTCAGTTAACATGTGCGGATTCTCCTCGTTACGGAGATCAGTTCCTTTCTGATGACGCTGGCATTACCAGGAACACTTAAACCATTCATTATGAAGCTCTGCATGTCAGTTTTGTGGGAACCACATGAGTAACTTTGATTATATTGTTAAATGAAACTGAACGAATATTCATTTTCAGGTCTAATGATTCCCCATTTCGACTTGGCCGAAGAACAACACTGGGGTGGTATGCTGGGGAGTAAAGGAAAGTCTGTATCCATTGTTGCACTGTTTCAGCAATCAGTCAGTCTCTCCTTCAGTG